TTGCTCTCCACGTGGGGCGGTTGTGCCCAGGCTTCAGAGCAATGATGGCGGACTGTGTTGCCAAGAAGCAGGTAGGGTAAAAGGATGAGTGGTCATTATATAGCACCTTTAAACTGAGAAGCTCCAGGAACCAGGGTGATGGGGGAGGGGACAGATAAGTATCTTTCAAAGTGAAAAGGGGTGAGGGCTTTGCGACGCTGTGATCATTCCCAGAGTTGCTGCCCGATGCCCCGCTTCTTGCTTCTGTCTCCAGTAGCCATGCCAGACCCTTGCTTTCAGCTGACAATACCTACTTGGGGCCTTCTCGCCCTCTGTTTCACCTGGCAGAATATCCGAGCTTCACTAGCTTTCAAGTCTCGTTAAATAGTGACTTTGCTTTTGCAGGGACTGCGGACAGAGACAGGAGGAACTTGTAATCATAAAAAAGATGGATTGGGCTAATTGCGTAAAGTTTGTTTCCCCTTTCTAATAAATATTTACTACCCCATGTTTATAACTTTTAGGTTTGGACTTTCTTGAAACGCTTTATTGAATTAAAAACATCACATTACCATTGGCTAAAAGAGGAGACAGCTATATTTGCCAGTAACTCCTGCAACAAATGCCAGCTACTGATGCCAATTTTTTTTAATTTTTTTTTTTTGGTAGTTCATATTTCCAGGGACAGCTTTGAGCCTTACAATACCAGCATTCTGCAGACAGGCATGAAAGGCACAGTGGTGATGGTGAGGGGATCTCCAGCGTCCTAGCCCTGAAAATGGACCGATTTTCACTTTTCTTGATTCTCTGGTAATGCAAATGTTTAAGAAAGTCCGAATCTGGTTCATATTGGAAGCTTGGCTGCTCTCAAAACAACTGTAACAACATTTCCCCAAAGTTATTTACCCTGTACCTTTGAGGGAGGAAATGGCTTTTAATTCAGATTGGTCTTAAAATGGCTACAAAGGGTGAGAGACAAAAGACAGACACACAATGGGGGGGGTGGGGTGGAGGGAAGGTTGTATATTGGAAATTCCACCAAAAGGGGAATAAGAACTCAGGCCTGGTCCTTCCTTTGGGGACTGACACTGGCCTCCCACTGCCCAGCACCAAGCACCTGGCCTTGTGCTGGGAGGCATCTGGTGGAGAATGTGACCGCTTTCTCAGAGCGATATTTAGCAATGCATGATTACAGAATACATACAATTACCAGGGAAACAAATTCCAGTATCATGCAAAATACAAAACAAATACAGTTGTGTAATAGAGTAACATATATGTTTCTTTGTCAACACGTTACGTGAGAAGAGCTGGCCCTGGGACTACTAACGACCGTAATTTTGAAGTAGCGGTAAGTGTAAATGATATTTGGAGATACTGGCTACAAGTGTCATGCAATATGAAAAAATCAGTGATCCCTGAACATGTGACAGTCATGGGTGGGTGCTGCTCAGACAGCGGTGACTTAAGCCCGCATTTGTAATCAGTTCAGTTAAAGGTTGGGAAAACATCAAGATGTCATCTCTTTCCTATCCCTATTCACACATCCTCTGAAATCTACCTGCAGACGCCAGTCCCTTTGTACGATCACAAAGATGTAGCCATAAAAAATGTGACCCCCTGACACTAGGAGCCTCTACCTTCTACCATCGATAAGCTTCTGTCCCTCAGAAGAGGCAGCAGCGACATGCACACACTCTGCCCACAGGCGGTCACGGTGGTTATTATTTTTCTCGAAACATAATCTATCCAGTTTCTTTCCTTCTTCGTTTTTACGGTGTGTATTCCAGAAAAAGAAAAAGAAACGGTTCAACTCCTCAGTACGTGTGTGTTTCGCGGTTTTCTTCCGTTGGCGGTGTCCTCCAACCTCTGTTATATTTCATTATTATTTTCTTTTCTGTAATAGGCTTCACGTCCTAGAAATCTTTAAGACAAAAGACTCGCCCTCTCCCCACCCCATTGCCTCATTAACGGTTACGGCTCAGGCTCTGTGGGGCTGCATGGCTTGCCAGTGGAGCTCTCACCATCAACATAGTCTTTGGGGGGCAGCCCAGGACCCAGGAATGTGAACGGCCCTCCTAACAGCCGTGCCTGAGTGTGGTTTTTACAAAATTCCTCCAGACTTTGCAGTTCTAATGCCTTCATAATATTCATTCTCCTAAAACTCCTGGCTAGGAGTGTCTTTCTTTTTCATGGCATCTAGTAAGTAGTAGTTTTTCATGTTTTTTTGTTTGTTTTGTTTTCCCCCCTATTCCACAGGGCCATGAGCAATTTGGAGAATTTTGTTGAGACTCTGGCATCACAGTCCACTCTGAAACAACTGAAGAGGCCGTGAGATGTCATGATGTCACTGGTGTGACTATGAGTGGGAAGGACAGGACGATGTTGTCCCCTCTGGGGTCACTCTTTGAAAGACTGCAGCCGCCCTTTTCTACCTCAGGAACAGACACACCTGAGCTTGGTCCAGCCCACCCCTCTCTGGCTGTGTGACCCTGGCCTGTGACCTACCCTCTCTTAGCCTCTGTCTTCTGATCTGTTAAGTGGGGTTCAAAGACCCTGACTTGAGGGTCACAGTCAGGATTTTGTGTGACAACGCAGAGACGGTGAGCTCCCAAAGATGTTTAATTCCTTCCCTCCTTCTCTTCCTCCTCACTCAGCTACAATCTCCTGGCTCCTGGAAGGCAAAATGGCCACTGCTCTCAGGGAGGTGGCAGTTTCTGCCCAGCTCCCACCCCATTGATCCTGCCCCTGGAAGGCCAGCTCAGCCTGGCCTGCCATGTCCCACCAGCCCCGGGAAGGCCCCACAGTGGGCAGAGTGGCTGCTCTGTGTCCACAGCTGGGCGCTTCCCTCTGCTCCAGGGCACTTCCGCTTTTCTTGAAAGCACAGTGTCCTCCCCTGGGTTCTGTCCACGTGGCTCTTATACTGTCACCACGCCATCAAAGGACTCCCTGAGACCTGCTCGCTTCTGAGTTCTGTGCACTTTCAGAGGCTGGAGGCTGCGACAGGCACACAGGATGCCTCTTGGCTTGCACTTGCGTATGTGATGAGTACCTCACGGTCCAGGCCAATGGCCAGCACAGACTGCTGGGGACACTCGAGTCCTGGGCTCCTCACATCTCCCCAAGGATGTGCCCTTCAACCCTGCTGCTGCTGGGCAGAGGTACAATGCACCCGGGGCGGGAAGTGGCAGCTCCCTATTACCAAGGTCCCCAGGAGCCTGAGAGAGGAGGATTCAGGACCACGTTGTGGATAAACGCACTTTGGGGAACAGCCAGCAGGAGGAGTTAGGCTGGTTTGAGGCACTGCCCTTTCCTGCACCCCAAATAATGGCAGGCACACCCCACCAGGGGATTCTGCCCTGATTTCCTAAAGCAAGTCACACGTAGCCAGGAAGCCCTCACGAGGCAGCATCCCACCTCCCGAGTCTCGTCCTGGACCTGTTGGTCTTGGGGAGGTCCTGCCCTGGGTTCTTGCTCTAGAAACACGCCCAGCCCACCAAGCTTTTCTCCCTCAGACTAGATGCTGTCCTGAGCCCCAGCACTTGCACTGACGGGTCCTAAGTCCCACGTTCTCCCGGCTGGTTCTCCTGCCTCTGTCCTTCCGTCCCTCATGTGCCACAGCCTCTGCCCCCCTACCTGAGGCGACCACCAACTGCTGCCTGGAGTGTAGGCTGCTCTGGCGTTCCCCTCGGGCCGTGGCATGGAAACTGCCCTGCCCCAGGTCCTCACATGTCCCTCTTGGCACCCCCACCAGAGAGGTAACTTAGCTACGGGCATGCTGCCTGCAGCATGGTAAGAAAGTACGAGTTCCAGGGATGAGCAGACTTGAGTCAAATCCTTGCTCTTTTCCCCACCAAACCACTTTGAACAACTGCATTACCTCTGAGGCTCGATGTCACCTGTACACTGGGGACAGTAGTAACCCAGGGAGTCTGTGGTGAGGGTTAATTGAGATGACACATTTAGAAGCTTTAGGACCAAACACGGGGGACATTGCTCAGTAAATGGTAACATTTTAATGGGGCTATTAACACTCTTATATAATCCATTTATTATTAACCCTACTATCATATAATCCATTTATTAAGTGTTCTCAACCTGATGCTCTCCAATGTTTAGCAGTTTGGGGCTCTCTTCCATGTTTATCAGGGTTTGCTTGATCAGGATGACATTACATCACTTCTCAGAAGAATGGGTTAATTTTCTTTTCCCTAGCGCCATAAAGTTTTCATGTTGTGATATTAGGCTATAAAAAAATAAAGCAAGAGGGCCAGCTGAGTGGCGCGTTGGTTAAGAGCTGGCTTGGGACGCCAGAGGGCCCCAGTTCGGATCCCACATATGAGGGCCAGTGACACTGCCCTCTACAGCTAAGATGCTGAACAACAGCTCAACCTGGAGCTGGGCTGTCTTGAGTCGCCGGCGACAGGCGACAATTGTGGGTTGCAGCCCCTGCTGCAGTGGGTTGCCATGGGCTACCGTATGTAGCCAGCAGCCAGCGTGAGCGGCCATCCAGAAGCCTGCAACCGATCTGCCTCGTCCAGAAAGAGAGCAATGATGGTGCCAACTTGGGCCAGTGAAGCAACGTCCTACACTACTAGACTGAAGAACAAAAGGACAGCAACTTGTCTGTTTCCCTTCCCCCCAATTCCCCAATAAAAAAAAATCTTAAAAAAAATAATAAATAAAGCAAGAAATACCTTTGGATTAAAAGAACAAAACAAAACATTAGGCTGTTGGTGTGGGTAGTAATTCTGAAGCTTCCCCATGCTATACTGTCTACGTGTATGTGTGTGCGTGTGCATGCATGTGTGTGTGCACATGTGTGCATGGGCATGTGTCCGTGTGTGACTCCTTATGGGGGCACCTGTGCAAATGCCCATGAGGGTGTATGTACATGCGTGTCTGTGTCTGTGCATGCATGAGTATGCATGTCTGTGCTAATGCATGTGGAGCATGAATACCAGCGTCGTCCCGCAGCAGCCACGCGCTCCGCCCGGAGCCAGCCTTCCGGGGCCGCTTACCTCCATGTTCCTGCAGAAGGTGGCATTGGTGCCGAACAGGATCTGGCACTGCTCGCTGGCGCTGTAGTGCATGCCGGGCAGCTTGTGTGGGAGGCGCACCGCGTGCTGGCTCCTGGGGTCCGTGACCAGCAAACACGTGCTGACCTTCGACCTGAAACAGCGGAGTGCAAAGTCACCTTGCAGAGGTGCCGCCCAGGTTTTTGCTTTGATGCTCAGTCTCAGAAAAGGACGCACCTCCAAATTATTTATGGGAAGGTGACCCAGGCACCGAACACACGGACTGCACTTTATCACCTTTTGCTCTTTATTCACATGGCAGCACGTAGACCTTGACGCTGAAGGCGAGTGCCTGGAAGCGAGGAAAGGGCCTGGGAACAATACCTCTGAGGCTCACGTCCTTCTCTCGGGGAGTCTGAGCACTTTTTTGCATGAAAGTGCTTTTGAAATAGATCCCTATGATATTTTCTTAGAATATGGCTTTGAGCAAAACTTACTATGAATTAAAAAAATAGAAGTTTGTTTTTGTTTTTTGTTTTTGTTTTTGTTTTTTTTTGCTTTATTTAAAATAAAAACAAAGTGTTTATTTTCAACTCTGCAGATTCTGTTGGGGGGCCTGTCAGGGCTGTCACCCCTGAAAGGTGGCCGGTGGCACACTTTGCAAAGGACTTTCGGATTTCAACCAGGAGGGGAATGTTGAACTGGGGGTTCTGAGGCTGTAGCTCCATGAAAACGTTAAAGTCTCGAGCGCTTTTATTTTTCAACTTCTGAAACAAGGCAGACGGTAGTAAAAGCACAACCCAGCCTCTTGCCAAGATTCTTGAAGAAAAGAGCTGCACACACGTAAGTACACACAGGCAGACAGACAGACACACACACACACTTGAACAGAGGCAGTGGGACCAGCACTATGCATCTGAGCAAATGTAAACACGCTGCCATGTTTCACGGACCCTCTGGGTGAAATGAAATAACGTCAAGTGGCTTACAGTATTTCATTAAGATTCTGTGACAACACATACTCAGTAGGAAGCAGACTGTATTAAAACTAATGAGTCTATTTTTAGGCCTTGTGTGCCACTTAAACAATTTCCCCACCCACAGGAAATATCATGAAAGAAGACCTAGGATGAGGACAGAAGCCAGAACGGTGCCTTAGCCTTCCACCTGAATTCACCGGGTACGTTAATGTGTCCTGGGGACAGTCAAGCTCACTGCAGGTGAGACTCCCTAATGCCCTCCCACCTCCTTGGGGCGTACGGATAAATACAGCTAAATGGTGTCTGCTGTCAAACCTGAGAGTCCAACCCTGAGGTCTCAACACTAAGGGACCCGCATAAACAGTTTACAGTTAGATGGCCGGCTCTTCCACGGCAATCTGAGCAGGCGCAGGCAGATTCTAGAAGGAAAGTGGCAGCGAGATAACCCCCTCCTGAATCCCCACAAGCGAGGGAGGTGAGCAAGCCCCTCTCCCCAGCAAATGCACGGCCTATCAGAGGAAGCAGCCTGTGCATGGAGGAAATGTACGTTACAGCCGCCATGGGGCACCGCTAAGGTCCGCTCACGGTCGAAATACCGCAGAGAAGTAAAATGGGGTTCAAGATACGGTCCCCATGTTGATGCTTCAGTCAATCAACAAACATTTATGGATACCAGCTGGGTGCCCAGCGTCATACCAGACGCACACTTGGGAGGAAGTTTCGCCACCCACAGGGGATTGTGCACTGGTCACCTAGTGAGGCCACAGAAAATTCTCCAAGAGATTCATTTCTGCTTCCTACACTTGCTGAGACGCCAAGCACTGTGTCTACTGCACGGAAGGCATAGAATGAGTCAAAGACTTACTTGAGGAAGTTTTCAAGGTCATCACGACTGCAGGAGGACCAAGAGAGGTCGCTGGGGTTCCGACCTTTCACCCACTCTCCTGACATGATGTGGGATCTGCCGGCACAGGACGAGTGGTCGTCATCGTGGTTCATGCCCAAACTGCCCAAGGAGAAGGAAAGAGAGAGAGGGACATTTATGTTATAGGCTTCTCAGCTCTAGTTCCAGGTTCTAGCATCCCACACTTAACTTAAATCGTCTTAAATACAAAAGGTGACACAGGAGGATCCCTGATATTCTACTCTCACGGAGCAAACCAACAGTCACGAGCTTATAAAGAAATAGAGAGGGCAATGACTTGTTTACTTTATGAATAAAGATTGATAGAGCAAATAGACACTAGAAGTGTTTGCTAAATAACGAATAAATGAATGAACAAATGATATTAATTGTGATACTATAGTTCTTTTTTATGGTTGATAATATACTTTTTTTTTTTTAAGATTTTTATTGGGGAATTGGGGGAAGGGGAACAGACAAGTTGCTGTTGTTTTGTTCTTCAGTCTAGTTGTGGAGGATGTTGCTTCACTGGCCCAAGTTGGCACCATCATTGCGCTCTTCCGGGTGAGGCAGATCAGTCGCCGGCTTCTGGACGGCCGCTCACTGCGGCTGCTGGCCGCTCACGCTGGCCGCTGGCTACACATGTTAGCCCATGGCAACCCAGTGCCACAGGGGCTGCAGCCTACGCCGTCGCCGGCGACTCACGGCAGCCCAGCTCCAGGTTGAGCTGTTGTTCAGCATTTTAGCTGTAGAGGGCAGTGTCACTGGCCCTCATGTGGGATATGAACCGGGGCCCTCTGGTGTCCCAAACCAGTTCTTAACCGTCGTGCCACTCGGCCGGCCCTTTTTTTAAAAATTTTTAATAATTTGTTTTTCGAGTATTGTTGACATACAATGTTATATGAGTTTCAGGTGTACAAAAACAACATAATGATTAGACAATTATACACCTCACAAAGTGATCACCCCAGTAAGTCTATTACCCATCTGACACTGTACATAGTTATTACAATATTATTGACTATACTCCCTATGCTGTACTTTATATCCTGGTGACTATTTTTTTTCAATTATAGTTGACATTCAATATTATTTCATATTAGTTACAGGTGTACAGCATAGTGGTTAGACATTTATGTAATTTATAAAGTGATCTAGTAGCACCCACCTGACATTATGCATAGTTTTTACATCATTGACTATATTCCCCATACTGTACTTTACATCCCTGTGACTATTTTATAACAACCAATTTGTACTTTCTAATCCCTTCACCTTTCTCAACCAGCCCATAATTCTTAAACTTAAGCTTATGATGATTAGATTTGCTTTTGACACTAAAATACACCAGTGTTAATGATCTAAGCGTTTTGTTGCCTTACAGAGAAGTCACTGCCTGAAGGGCTAGTGGGAACCATCCAAGACTTTGACGTATAGAATATCGTAAGTGCAAATTGCCAGATTGATGAAAAATGTGGCTTTCCAGCCTTTCCCATCCTTATACCTGGGTCCACCAAGATCATACCTGTCGCCTTCCCTGCCCAGGTGTACCTACAAAACAACAGGATGCCAGTCTAGACATGGGTGACTGATCATGTGCTCTAACAATCTTAGCTTACACACATGCCGTCAGTGGGGTAAAGTGAGTCACCAAACACACCGGATCCGATCACAGCTCACTGACCCATGATTTCCAGGGGACAGACTCGCTGTGCATAAGAATGCCCATTCTTTGTCAACAGCCCAGTGGAGAAAAACATGTGCTCTCATTCATTCAAAAACAGAGGTGCCCAGAGTGCCAGGTAAGGGACCAGAAAGAAAGGACACAATGGTGGACAATATGCTTTCCTGACCACAAAGCACAGCCAGCCTGGGCGAGGAGGCGACCCAAACAGAGGTCATCAGGAAAAGAGGCTCTGAGTGCTTCTCTAGACTCACATTTGCCTAGTTTTCCTCATGTCTCTGACCATCTTTCATCAGTCCTGCGGCTTGCTGGTTACTCCTGGCATCTCCCAGAGAGAGGGCCCAACGGTATCCTTGCTCTGCACCCGCTCCAGGCCACTCCACGCTCTGTCCCACAGACACGTTCCCTCCCCTAGCACCACGTGGGGTCGAATTAGCCGAAGCCATCCCCCGCCTTTGTAAAATCCACTGCCTGGCACCCTTGTGCCTAGAATCACCCCCACATCTCTGCTCCCACCAGTGAGGGGAGTTTATGAAGTGTCACTTGTATTTCTTTTCAAATCTATTTGTGTCTGTAATGCAGGGTACTTCAATTAATACGAGTGGTTACATGGGGTGTTAACCAGTGAAATATGAGAACAAGAGTAAAGCTGTTTTCATGAAAACTAACTTAGCTAGTAGCTAAAATAGGCTGCTGCCAAATTAGGTGTGGGCAAGACAACTGTAAAAGAAGAGGGGGAAAAAATCATAAAAATCGGCCCCCATACTGCTCCACAAGGGTCTTTTATGTTCTACCCAATCTAAAAAAACAAAAACAAAAACAAAGCAAAACTGAAATTTCAAACATGTTGCATTATAGTTGAGGTTTAAGTGGGGACAGTGATATGCAAGTCCAATGGGCAGAGACACCCACCCTGAAAAAAAAAAGGCATTCACACCTCCCGCCTACAAAATTGGTGAACAAATTAACATTTTCATGGCTCAAGTTAAAAACAAAATGTATAAGGCATCTAAGTATAATTTCTTTATGTTTCCCCATTTTAACCATTTTTTTGGTTAATGGGTCAACAGACCAACTACTATCCTGTCAGAAAAGGGTGCTGCTGCGGTGCCATCTACATGTGATGGCCGCATTTTCCCTCCAACCTCTTTATCAAACTTCCCTCTGGGCTTCCTAGGGGCTCTTCTATCTAACTCAAATATCTAACAGTTAACTTATCATGACTTATCACTTCCGTACCTACCCCCTCTACCGTAACCTATCGGCCAGTAGTGTTTGTGACTTAGTAAAGATGTACTTCATATTTGAAAATTTGTGTGTAATGTGGGCCGGCCGAGTGGCGCGTTGGTTAAGAGCTGGCTTGGCACGCCAGAGGGCCCCGGTTAGGATCCCACATATGAGGGCCAGTGACACTGCCCTCTACAGCTAAGATGGTGAACAACAGCTCAGCCTGGAGCTGGGCTGCCGTTTGAGTCACCGGTGATGGTGTAGGCTGCAGCCCCTGCTGCAGTGGGTTGCCATGGGCTACCGTGTGTAGCCAGCAGCCAGCGTGAGCGGCCAGCAGCCGCTGTGAGCAGCCGTCCAGAAGCCGGCGACGGATCTTCCTCGCCCGGAAAGAGCGCAATGATGGTGTCAACTTGGGCCAGTGAAGCAATGTCCTCCACAACTAGACTGAAGAGCAAAACGACAGCAAGTTATCTGTTCCCCTCCCCCCAATTTCCCAGCACTGTTCCAATTCCCCAATAAAAATCTTTAAATAAAAAACAACTTTTTTTGTGTGCAGTGAATCTGTGAGATCTGTTGTGCCCAACAGAGGGTTAAATTTGATTTAGGTTTTGATCTGATACCTTTAAATAAAATTGGTGATAGAGTTTGCACATAGGTAGATCATCTGAAAACTTTGATGGATTTCAGTGAATGAAATACGTAGAGGTTACAGAAATAAAATGTCTCATAAATAAAGTGGCTCCATTCCAGCTATAACAACAAGGTATAAGCACAGCATGGGGATCAGCCAAGTTGCTCTGTCACCAATCTTGGAGAATCCAATCCCAGCAGAATCAAAACGTGAATCAATTATTCCTCTAGCTTTGCACTTGTACGAGCTGCACCCCATCATCGTGGGCTGGGCTCTCCTGAGCAGCCACCAGATGGGTTTTTCAAACAACAAGGATGCTGTTTGGATAACCACCATCGGAGGAGATCTAAGTCCCAGCACAATGGCCTCGCCACGTCTGGAGGAATGTCATTTGTGACTACTTCCAAGTTTTCTCCAGCAGTCAAGTTCGTTGTCAAATGAAAGAGGCTCCTTTGCCCACCATGCCAGACTGCTGGCCAGAGGACCTGATCTCTCAGGAGACAAAACGGTGTGTAAAACAGTGCTCAGAAAAGCTGGCTGTGCTGTTGCCCACTGTACATCTCCAGGGTGTGTGATGGTCATCATTTCACTCTGCCGGCCCCAGAGAAGGTCTTCTCTAAAGAATGCTACCTGGGCTGGTCGGGTAGTGCAGTTGGTTAGAGCGTGAGCTCTGAACAACAGGGTCACCGGTTCAATTCCCTCATGGGCCAGTGAGCTGCACCCGAGCTGAGCAGCTGCTGAGCTGCCAACAGGTGGCAGGATGGCTCAGCTGGTGAGAGCACGTGCTCCTAACTAGACTGAAAATGGTGACTGGACTTGGAACTCAGCTTGCGCCCACCACAACCAAGTTTGAAGGACAATAACTTGACTCGGAGCTGATGGGTCCTAGAAAAACACAATGTTCCCTTCCCCAATTCCCCAATAAAATCTTTAAAAAAAAAAGAATGCTCCCGTCAGCAAGGTCAGCTAAGAGTAGGATTCATGGGCTTCTAGAGCTTTCCTCTAATACAGATCACGCTTGATCCGCTTAAAAATGTTCAAATGCTAACGAAGCGCCTCATAAAGTTATAGCTTGATGAACAAGCATTGGGCTGGGAGTCTGGTTGAGGTTCCCATCAACCACTATTTAGGCTATTTTTAGTTTAAATTAAGGGTTACTTGACTGAAAAATTCATGCTATTGTAGGTTTTTGTCCCAGGGCATCTATTACTTCTCGCAACATTATATTTAACAAAAATGAGCAGCGTGAAGCACACACAGTAATTTTAAGTGTCAGTGACTGTGGAATTCAGGATACAGACAGGCCTCGTGTCACATGGGACCCAGGTTCCTCAGACACAATAATAACTCAATGGCCTTGAGTTGATTTTCTCTTAAAACAAGTACCACGTTTCTTATGTATTTGCTTCAGGAGATCTAATTCATACCATGCAGAGAATTCTGAGAGAGTTCCCATAATGCTCAGCTCCTCCCAGATTCACCCCACAGCCTAAAAACCATGAGCAATGGCTATGTGTTCTGGGCTTGGTATGTCGGCCGCTTTGGCTCTCAGCCTCCTTG